ACTTTTCAAAAATGAAAGTAAATGTAGGGATGTCTAATATCAATCCTTCAAAAACAATGCAAACAAGATAGTACGGAAGGCATTTGCATCATCCTTACACAATAACACAGGAAAGAATTAACATATAGCAATATATATATATATAACTATTTAATTACAATTGAGTTTAATTTATCCTAATTTTGTCTGTTAACATTCTACTCGCTCAATGCTAATGTTGTTTTTGTAGTTCGAATATTATGAACTTTTTTTTTTTATATTAACGGTGATGATGGAATTTAAAGAAATTCCGAAACGTCCGTGTTAAAGATGTTTTTTGGTATTATGGTGTTTTTAATATTTATTATGAAACACTGTATAGTATCGTAAAGTTCTGATGACCTATTGAGGAGATATGTAAAATACAATTTGATGAGCAATCCAAGCCATCCCTACATAGGCAGTTCTACCGTTTATAAAATTTACTTTTTTATAAAATCTAGTTTGTTTCTTGTTTGGTTTGATTCGAATTTTGCGCAAAGCTACACGAGGGCTATCTGCGCTAGCCGTCCCCAAATTAGTAGTGAAAGACTAGAGGGAAGGCAGCTAGTCATCACCACCCACCGCCAACTCTTGGGCTACTCTTTTACCAACGAATAATGGGATTGATCGTCACATTACAACGCCCTCACGGCTGAAAGGACGAATATGTTTGGTGGGACGGGGATTCCTAACCCGCGACCCTCAGATCAAGTCAAGCGCCCTAACCACTTAGTCATGTCGGGCCAGTTTGTTTCTTTTATTATATTGTTCGTTTGTTTCTGATATTATATTGTTTGTTTGTTTCTTTTATTATATTGGTTCGTTTGTTTCTGATATTCTCGCAGACTCATATAAAAGGGCAAAATGCGCTATCCGATCGCCATTTTTAAGTGACAGACTAGGACTTACTGGAGTTAGTCTCTTCGATTAATATAATTTAACCGTCTTTTTTATAACTCGTCCACAGCCCCAAAGTGTGGAGCGCATTTATTTTGTTTTACGTTGTTTTTTGCGGCATCGGAGAGCGAACCACTGAATCTCAGAAACACAGTCCGACACAATAAGATTCAGTGTCTGTGTGTCACGTAAGTCCTAAATCGCAGTCACCGATTTCTAAGTGGTACCAAACGAATCATCTCGGTCCCGAGGTTTAGATAAAAATAAACTTTTTCACCCCACCCCGTGGGGAACCTGGGGATTTCCTGCAAATATCTTCTCCTAAAATGCTGTACCCGCCAACTTCTAAATAAAACCAAACAAATCGTCTCGGCCCCAAGATTTGCACAAAGGTAAAACTTTTCACTCAGCCCCTTAGAGGTATTTTGCGAAAACAATTTTGCAGAGATTCCCTGAAAACGGACCCCATATTTGGCATTCATTTACATCAGAGCACGTAAATAAGTAGGCTTACTAATTACTGATCGTAATTTGGTTAAATAAATGAAATTTGTAAGTATAGCAGCAATTAAACAGACAAAAAGTGCAAAATAGTAGTTCAAGCATTAAATCTGCATTATAGCGGTCCTGTAAATATGGGCCATAGGCCCATGGGTGAGCTAGATTATTATATAATTGATTCATAAAATAATTAACCTGATTTGCTGTTTCATTGTATTTCTCGGCTGAATCTTGTCGCCGACGACCGTTGTGTCCTCCTACAGCGTAGATCATACCGTTTAGCAATGCAACGCTAACGTAGGCTCTTAAAACACACCGAAGCAATAAGAATAATGTTAACACATTGAATTTTACTCATAAATAATACATCATACAAGCATTGATTACTTCCTCGATGTTAACAAATATCTTATCCTAACATAACCATGCAGACTTTTATTTCATCTGATGAAGGTTTAAAATATTCAAATTCACGTTTTCACTTTCTAATTTATTTAAACGAATCCAGAGTGAATTGTTTTGGACATATCTGATTGAAATTACTGCTAGCTGCGAATGTTTATTTTTTGTCACTTAATATTTCGTTTTTACTATTTCTTCAGCAGTGAACTTTTACTGGTAAACTCTCAATATAATTAAAAATGACAGATACAATATAAATGGTGAGAAAAATACAATGGAATTATGAAAATTAATTTTCGAACATCTGATTAAAACAGTGTCTGATTAAAGAAGGTATCATTTATTACAAACCGCTAATCCTGGAATTCTAAAGTATCGTTTGTAGCGTTTTTATTCTAGTATAACTGACATTCAGACATATTAACCCTTTTTTTATAATGTATTCCCGACCCTTTTATAGACATCTCACCTTTTCACATGAGTCATTCAGACATATTAGCCCTTTTTTATAATGTATTCCTGACCCTTTTATCGACATCTCACCTTTTCACATGAGTCATTCAGACATATTAGCCCTTTTTTATGATGTTTTCTCGATTCTTTTTATCAACATCTCACCTTTTCACATGAGTCATTCAGACATATTAGCCCCTTTTTTATAATGTATTCCCGACCCTTTTATCGACATCTCACCTTTTCACATGATTCGTTCAAATATATTTACCTTATTTTTGAAACACTTGTGCGTATAGTGACTCTATCTGTTGGATTAAAGAAATGGACGTACATATCTATATAACAAAAATCCAACCATAGTATCACATTGTTTATTATAACTGAAAATTAAATGCGTCCTACATGAAGGAAGGACGCAGAGTCTTCACCTTACATTTTACATTCTGAAAAGTCCAGTTCAAGTCTTTACAACGTCTCCTACGTAGAGAGTTGTATCCCCCAAAGTCAGTGGTTCCCAACCTTTTGTAGCCATCGCACCCTCTAAGGAAGCCCTAGCACCCATCTCCTAAAAGTGTGCATTAGACATTTTCTCTTGGCGACATTTGGGGGAAAACTTCTTCTTTGGCTTCTTCCGCGCACCCCCTGGACCCTCATTTCGCACCCCTGGTTAGGAACCCGTACCCTAAGTCGCTCATCCAGATCTCACCTTTTCATATGCATGGGGGCCACTTCTCTCCAATGTCTGCTAACTATATTCCAACACCAGACGGTGTTCAGATAGTCAACACTGTTGAAACCACCAATGACGTAGACATCAGTTCCTAACACGGCTATTTTATGATAAGATCGCGGTCCTGCTGGGTCATTGATGTCCAGCTAACGGCAATAGAACGTATATATAATTCTGTTGAAAGTTTCTAAGCAATACCTTGCGTATATACAAGTAAGCTTACAAGCGTATCAATGATTCAGATCAGTATTATGATCAATAGTCTAACAATAAGCTATTGATTAACCGCCCTTTTTCTTTGGTTATGTAAGTAATATTTGTATACTTTAAACGCATTGTCCGTCACTAATTTATGTATCCAATTCGTTTTATAAAATTATTAAAATAGAGGCATCTATTTAAAGACGTTTTACGCAACTGTACATGTATATCAAGTAAATTGTGCCTCCTAAGCAACATACAGAGTGGGCAAAAGTGACCCTATAATCGTTTCGTTTAGATTATAATTTAATTTCTAATGACTTATTCTGAAATGAAACGTAATTAAATTACTTTCAGTTCTTTTCGTAATATTTTTATTACCAGTCGTATAATACCAATTGTACCAACCGTATAGTACTAAGTGTACAGTAACTTTGTCCTCACGCAGATACAGACGCTTTAGAAGATGCATTAATCACCTTCCTGGACAAATATTTCAAGCGTGCGTATTTGCCCAAAACGTCGAACTTAAGCTTGACCAGCACTGCATACATCACTATTTCAACAAATGGTATCCATTAGTAAAACTATATAAAAAACACATCTAGGACATAATGGTATCTACCATCATAGCGTACACAAAATTAAGACAAATATTATATCATTAATAAGTATGTTGACATTAACAAACAATAAATTTATATTCGATAAAATGAATTGTGTTTAAAGTAGTACTGTATTAATTTATAGTTTCAAATGATATCACACTTGTTTGAAACACACGACTGTTTAGTTAATATGAGTGTTATGATTTAGATGATTTTGAGTATAGTACGGGTGTTAAATTTAGTTATTTTAAAATATATACAGTTTATTGCAGGTTTATTTACGTAACAGTGTACGAGTCATACGTCGTGTAGTTCAATTGTTGAGTTATTACGTCATGTTAATAGAAGCTTCTAAGGTTTATTGTTGTTATAATTGAGTATTATTGCATTTCGTAGCGCGTGGAATGTTCTAAGCTTCGGTCAGGCTATAAATACGAGTCCAAAATGTAGTTCGAGTAAGACATAGTTAGTAATATAGATCTAGACTGAGTTTAGCCATAAAGAGCATGTAGTGGCGGTTTTTTAAATTGTAATTATCATAGATTGCATTGTAATAATAGAATAGAGAAGAATAACTCGTCTTGTCAAATTGTGTTCTGAAGTAACTGAACTAACCTATGTGAACTTTGCCAAAAAAAGTAGACAATTATTTAAAGCTCTGGATACAATTGTGATATTTAACAGTGTAACGGACATTTGTATACATGTTTTACTTGCTTTAATGTATGCTGTTTTTTTTATTGTTGAAATTTATCACCAACAAGTCACGGACACCTACTGTAAAGAATCCGGCCCATACATAAAACCTTGCAACATTAGTCTATTTATATAAATATTAGTTTTGCGGAGATGTATAGTTTGTCTACTGTATATCTTTTGGTCAGTAAAAATTCTAATAAGGAACAAAGAAGGATTTTTCAATCTCGTTAACATTTCTTTTCTTCTTTTTTTTTTCTTGTTTTGTTTAGAAAGAAAAAACATCTGCAAAGTATTCTTACATGAAAATAAGTAACGTAAAATTTAATGCATGGTCTTCCATTTGTCTGTGTTACCTGAATCCACCTGTCGGCTCTAACATCGTACGCTTCTATCAAACTGATTAGATTCCTACGATTCCAACCACCAAAGATGAACAGCGCCTCATGGGGGAACCTGGGACGAATCAGGTGTGGAGAAATTAGTTTCGTGTCTATCAAGGGTTTTTCTTGTCGTTGATCCCACAGGATAGTGAGTGCCTCGTTGATCAGAGGTCGGCAGTTACTTTGCTCTGTGACATGTGGATGATATTTGACCATCTTGATGAAGAATGTAACATCCATAAGGCCAAATCGGACACATTGCATTAGTCTTAACAAATCATGTTTTCTGTCCTCCGGATCGTTGTCAATCCATTTTACAATGGCTTCCCAAAGGTCTTCTTCATGGCAAATATTTAAGTCATCAGCTGCAAATATGTCTACAAGTTCTTCTGCAGGAAGTTCTAGAAACTCTTGGGAAGTTTCTAAGACTTGTACAATTTCTTTCATCAAAAATCTATGATTTAATCCAGAAATAAGTTACCGAAAAATTATAAACGGTATTAAAAAACAAGTCTGTAATATACGAAAAAATAATAATATGTTGATTTTCTACTTGTAATGTATATATGTTTAAATAGACATGAAAAACTTCAGGTTTAGTATACTATTAGTATCCGAATTAGTGTTGTTTATTTCTTTGCTTCGTAGATAAGCACAAGGCTACAGATGGGCTATCTGTGCCCTACTCACTGTGAGTATCGAAACCCGAATTTTAGCGTTATAAGTCCTCAGAGGGAGCCGAATTAGTATTGATAATTTAATTTTTCACTTATTCAAAGTTGCCCTTTTAGATTCGTAATATAAGAACATTTTTATTATTATTGGAGTTAACCAAGAATTATTTTTAAAAGCTTTCTATATATATATATATATGCCCCCCCTCTCCAATAGCTAAAAAAAGTTTCATGGCTAAAATACGAAAGTTCGTGGTTCGATCCCCGCGGTGAGCACAATCCAGAGAGTCCATTGTACAGTTTTGCACTTAAGCAAACAAATATAACATAGAATTAAAAAATAAACAAACAGTGGTAAGTACCAATTAAATGCCTTTTACAGTTTTTTCCCTCGCAGTGAATCTGAAAGACCAATTTAAAAGTTATAAAGTCATCGTAATATTTATAATTTATATTAATTCATTTTAATATTTATATAATTTTGTTGACTTTTTAGTATACTCAAACACTTTAAAACGTTTAGAATTGAAATTGCTTGAACTTATTAATGTATTTCTGGAGAAGTTTTTTTTTGTAAATCCATACTATACAAAAAATAATTAAAGTTTGTTTTATCGTGTGACCATAATCTTCTCTGTAAAGCTCATTTTTTAACTATCTTAATTCCTTTCTCTTCTATACTAACAGGCACTTGAATCAATGCTGTTTGTGTCTACAGTATGCTATTCAGCCGCGGCATAGCGGCTCATAGAATGGCTCTGAGTTTGTTTTTTCCGTGTTTTTTTTTTTGTTTTTTAAAGTACAAACGTTCAGCTCGTAGCTTCGTCATCTCTTGACCGATTTGACATTTAATTACAGTTTTGGACTCAGGGTGTCAAACCCTTTCGATTCATGTATCTGACCACGCCTAAGGTGTCATAGATTAATTTACTCTAATCCTGCCTAAAAAAATTTCAATTTGAGGGTAGGCTCGTAGACATCCTGATGAGTAATAAAATCGAATCATGTATACGCGCGCATCACGTTTAGTATTGCTGGCGCACAAAATACAGCTAATAAAAATAAAAAAAGAAAGGTCTCGTAGATAAATTTACTCTAATCCCGCGTAAAAGAATTTCAAGTGCCGCGGCTATTACGGATTCCCTCTTGTTTTTACACATAAAATTTTTTAGCTTACTATATTTTTATTATTACTGAAAATAAGCAACACACATTTCTCTCTATTTCAACAATATCCTGAAAAAAGATAAGAATGTTTTTACTGGCTAAACGGAGGGCGGTGGGTGGACAGAGGAAAGGTTTGTTTAAAATTAAGGACAAAGCTACACAATGGGCTATCTGTGCTCTGCCCACCACGGGTATCGAAACCCGGTTTCTAACGGTGTAAGTCCGCAGACAAGCCGCTGTGCCATTGGGGGGGGGGGGGGCGAGAGAGGAAAGAGGGACAAATCACTGAAATTGTGAGGACAGCTAGGAATATATCGTTTGTAAAGTAATTTAATTGCTATTGAGTTCACTTTAACTTGGCCTACTTCAAAACTGTTTGATTAAATGGGGAAATATCCTTACTGGGTTGTTATTTTTTCCAAATCTAAAACACCGTATACTTGGGCGAACTGCCGAATTCCAATACAGTTTTCAAGATCCATGTTATCTATTAAAAACTGGCTACAATCTTTGACCATTCCGATGACATTGAACTGATCAGCTGCGGGAAGAAGGACGTCGACGTTACCCACGGTAACCCAAGTCACTCGTGTATAGGCGTACTTAATAATAAGTTGTAACAAATCCGCTGTTATCCCAGGTATGAGAATATCCTTCTTATGAGGAGTACCCAAGGTGTTTGTGAAAAGAACCTTAAAATATGGACTACTGGCTGACAACACAGCGGAATGAATCAAAAACTTCCCACAATCATGGGTCCGGAGAATAGTATCACACAACTGACCGGTAGATCGCATTTCGTCCAGAATTTGTAGTGGTTCAGTTATTTCTCGGTCAGTTTCCATTATTCAAAGTTTTTTGTTGTTGTTGTTCTCAGCTTAAGATTCTCAGACTTCTGTTTGTTTTGTTGATCGTTATATTATTTTATTTTAATATATAAAGACGATAGAAAGTTAACAAACGTGTTAAGTTTTCTGTACAACCACACGCTTTTAACAGAAACAATATAACCTAGGAAACCATATTGTTTCCGATTGTTACGACAGTCAGCGACTATTGAATAATACAAAAAGTACTGTTGTCTGTTGAACTAAAAAAAATGGGTGCAGTCACGTTGAATTACACTTACTTTTTAGTGATCTGACAATACAATGGGGATAAAATTTAATACTGCTTTTCATAACTATCCTTTCAACATTATTCAGTTAATTATCTAGTTGTGAAATAAAAGGAAGATGCATCTTCGACTTATACAGGCTGACGAGAAATGAGTTATTGCCACTGATTCGACGTTTTATGAAGGTCAAATATAGGATAAGATAATTTCGTTAAATGAGCCTGAAAAGGACGAAATTATGTGACAAAGGACGTTGAATATTTTAATAACTGATAAAATAAAGGTACGTTCCTATATGCAGGTTTTTTCTATGTAGTTCTGAGGCAAGAGGTTGAGAGCTCAGATAATATAACATAATATATGATAATATAACAAAGACCATAAATCACGTAAAAGCAATCTCAGTTGTGGACAATTTCAACAATGTAACTTAGTGTCATTGTTATAACGCACTTAGTGAGAATTGCAAGAATTGAAGTTCACAAATGATACTTGATTTTGTTGAATTTCGCGCAAAGCTTCTATCTTCCAGGCCACCACAGGCCTCATACATAAAAGAACATAAATATTAATTGGTTTACTCATATGTATTATGGTATATAATTAATAGAAGTAATAACTCATTTAAGTCGCAATTATTTATTATTTCAAAAACAAATATATTTTTCCACATGTTTCAGACACATTTCTTCGGGCCATCATCAGACAAAACGAAAATAGACGAGACAACAGTTTATATACTATATTTAAAAAACTAACATTTTATTTAAATGAAACAATACAAAAATATAAATACGCAGTGTGTATATATATATATACATATAATTATACAATATACACAAATAAAATATTCAACATAAATATAAGAGAATATATGAAATACATATAAGTTTGTATAGAACGTTATTCCAAGTACACTGGAGGAATGAAATTCCTGGACCTTCGTCTTTATCTAAAGAAAAAATCTCCGTGTTTATTTCCAGCGATTCCTTTACATTCAGCTGAGTGTAATTTCTCAGGGAACACAATAACTGGGTATTTTATAGGATACGGTGCTAATAGTTAATACCATGTTCTGCTACACATGATAAAGTGCAGTTATTGTTTTTTTACTGCAAGTATGTCCACTCAATCGACTTTCATAATCTATGCCCTTGGTGCATAATATTGTTATGACAGCGGAAGTCACTCGACGCTGGAAGCATGCGCGCTGGAGTTTCTAGAAGAATCATGTCTCTTCTTGGCAACTCTAGTCTTTTCTACGCACCCTCTATTTTAGTATATAAGCAGGCAAATAAAGCGAGATAATTAATTGAATTGCAGACAGGCAGAGATAGAGACGCACAGTTGAGTCAAGCGCGGTAGTGACGGTAAGTGAAGTGCGTGAATCGTTGTGAATTATAGCATATGTTTAAGTTAAAGTGACTGTGGAAATTAAGTGTATTGCAAAGTTGTATTGAGAAAGAATAAACTAGTTTTATTTAAGAAATGACTTGTATCGCTAAAGTTTCATCCGAAAGAAATTATACGGGAAATTAACAAACGACCAGAGACGTAACAATATTCTGTGTGTCCAATGGTGCTGATATTCCTGAAATATCACTAATAGCTAATCACTTCTCCCCGAAGTATTTTTTATCGTCTTTACCTTTAAATCCATATACATATTTCTGAACACAGATAGGTATGGGACTTTTTACTTTTGTTAAAATCTGTTTAATTAAGTGTTCTGCCTCCCCCTTCCTTTTTTAAAAGGGATTATTGTTTACCACAAGTTTGACGGATTTTCTATGAAAACCGTGGTACATATTGTTACGTCTCCGTTTGTTAATTGATTTTCCGTAACTTCGTTCCGACG